TTTTTTTTTTATTATTATTTCAGCTTAACAGTTTATTCTTTACAACTGAGTTTGAATAGGAGTTCTAACAAACGACAAGCGAGAACCTTTTCAACTCTGTATAAAATTCAGGGCTTCTTGTGGCTGTTGTGAAGGTCGTGATCAAGTAAACCGCACGAAACTGCCACTTGAAATCAGTAAAATGCGTACAATGGTAAATTTACAAATCTCTCTGTTATATTTTACAATATCTTCTATGCGCAAACAACACTTGGCACTCGCAAAGGTTGCTTAATCTAAAAACAACTTCGATGTTTTATATATTTGCGGTAACATACGGGATTCAGCAGCAGTATAAACAACAACTCTACTCCATTCCACCAACTCTAGCCATCTGACCGATTTCTTCTTTTAAACATTCAAGGAAATCTGTAGTGGAATGTTCGCCTCCAACATCGGCGGTTTTCTGAAGACAAAATAAACTAGTTAAAAAATTAAAATCAGTAACTTGAACATCCCTGCGTAACCCGCAGCGCAAGTCACTGTACTGAGGAAAGTCCCTGTTTAGGAAGGCAAGTAACTGAGGGTGGGGTGGAGCGAAGGCAAGATTTCATGAAGCGTCTCCTTACGGTAAGTTAAGCTTAGCAGAGAAAAACCTCAGAAAAAAGAAAACCACATTCGTTAACAAAAGCTGAGGAATCAACTTGAACAAGGCGCCCATACATGCCCAGGACTACAGCTGAATGTTGGCCCGATAGTTTAGGACTACTCCCGGGTGGACAGAGAAAGGCATGGGGGAGCATAGAGTCTCACCCGACAACACACCAGCAAGGACGAAGACTGTTCATAACTCAGAAAGAAGTATTCTTACCACTCCTTTTTCCACGACTCTTAAGATAGCACTGTGAATTAGGTCACCATAAGCATTCCATCTGAAACAGAACAAAATACAACAGATTATGGTAACTACAGACCATGCACAGAGCTTCTCGTGTCCTGGCATGATTCAAGGACGGTGCAAGGTGGCCTCATCTCTCTGCACCTCTCCTTTTCCTCGTGAGACAAAGAGGAGACTGAGACTAAGCGACCTCAAACCAAATCAGGCTTCAGAATATCGGATGATAGAACCAGAACAGATAATAGCGAGTATTTCTATCTACCGTACAAATGGCAGTACTGCGAATTCTGTTACTATTACATGTACTATTGTGTTATCAAGTTGGACTTCACAAGGTTACGGTCAGGTCAGGTTATCAGTTGCTGGGATATTAGCTCCTTATTTGAGATATTCATAAACATAAAGTTCAATGAACAGTACAATGGTTCCGCACGTACGTTATACATCTTGGTACATTCCTTAGCCGTCCTCAGCTATTCAAAACGATGGTGTGAAATGACCATATTCTGACTTTATACTAGTCTAATCTATGAACACGTTTTACTTAAAAGATCTGCTCTTCTCTCCTTACCCCAAATGTTCCAGCATGAGTGCGCTGGTAAACAGCAGGCTCACCTATGTAAGTCATTTAGACTCAAACGTAACAGTCTAATCTATTTTCTCTCCTTACCCCAAATGTTCCAGCATGAGTGTGCTGGCAAACAGCAGGCTCATAGGATTTGAAATGTTCTTTCCTTCGATGTCCCGACCTGTGTGACGCGAGCCCTCAATAACAAAAAGACAACAATATGGTATTGAGGCTGTTCAAATTAAACATATATGACCATGTACTTTCTTATAATGTGTGTTACACGTTTATATTCTCCAGTGCACCCACAAAAATGTTCCGACACTACAGAGAAACAAGTTTTCTTTTGACTCAAGTCCTTTTCGGTTTACACAGAATAATCCCGACTATGTTTTGACCAAGTGCAAAGCCTGGGCAACCCATAAGAGATAATTCAGCATTATTATATGGCTCTATCTCACAAGGACTGGAAACTACCAAATTCACCAATTTGATTGGCTGAAATCGATATTGAAAGTGCTCTACATTTTCCCATCTAGACTGGCATCTAGACCGGTAATGTTTTGCAGTGAAAAACTTGCCAACTAAAATGCAAAATCATTGACTACTTTCATCTAACAATAATTTATATTTATGTAGGATGAGCAAATTTTAGCAGAATTAAATTCAGCTCATTACCGTTCCCAAGCAAAATGCCTGGGGCAAAATGTCAGTCAGTACAAACCAGTTACATTAAACAAATGAAATTTGTTCTTCTTTGCGCCATATAATAAACATCTTATTAACCAAGCTTAGTTGGTCTGTATGGGAGAATCTCGACCTTGGTCGTGTGTACAGACTTCACCGTATTCGGTCTGTACTCACGACCTTGGTCAGGATCCTCCCATACAGACCTCCTGCTCGGTTAGTAAGAGCTAATTACAAACAATTTTTTTTTTTATCAAGTCCTCACCGATTCAAATGCCGCATAATCTCCACCATAGTTATTAGAGGAAATGGAAATGTGATGAACATCAAAGAAGTAGACAAACAGGCTAAGATTTATGCTGGAAGGCACTTAACCCTGCACATGTTTTGTTTAATGCTCATTGACTAAGCATGAATTACATACTTAGTTGTATAAGCACACAACCACCTTTGGTATATTGCCAGGTTTTGTGCAGGGTCAACTCCTAAAATAGCCAACAAAAACATACAACAAAGAACTTTGTCAGGTTTTATAACCATTCCCTCTATTAAATATGTCTCCACCTATGTTTTCACCAGGTACGGTGCCTGTCCACCCACAAGAGCATTAAATATAATATAATATGTAAACATCACAACATAAAGTCCTTACCGATTCAAACACAGCATAATCTCCACCTATGTTTTCACCAGGTACGATGCCTGGTCCGCCTACAAGAGATGCGCCAATGTTGCTGACTATATTGCCATACAAGTTTGGCATTACCATCACATCAAACTGCTGAGGGTTGGAAACAAGCTGCATACAACAGTTATCAATAATCATAGAGTTGTATTCAATGTCAGGGTAGTCCCTGGAGACCTCGCCACAACATCGCAAGAACAAGCCATCACCAAGTTTCCTTCAGTGAAAAACAAAAACAAAAACTCTGCGATTGACATCAACATTGTCATGTGTACATTATTTGAAACACAGTTTCAGTTACAGCGGTGCTTTATTGTGGAATTTATTACTTGAAAACATCAAAAAGATTAAATCAATTGCAAAATTCAAGACACAAATCAATCGCATATTTGAATCATCAGATTCTCACTTGGCAATCTTGTAAAACAGTACATGACAGTTTTTAATTAATGTAATATTTGTATTTAGATTTTATACATGTACTGCTGTACTTACTGAAGATTGATTGATTGATTGATTGATTGATTGATTGATTGATTGATTGATTGATTGACTGATTGATTGATTGACTGATTGATAAAATCTAACTGACCATGGTATAAACTGTAAGCAACTACACTACCAAGTTGCAGATCTCTTATAGCACCTTGTCAGAGTTTACTCCCATTACATGTATGCTTAAACTGCATTATCAACATATTAAGTTATTGGATTACTACAGATGTCAGTTTTGGAAGCTCACATGATGTTGGCCTTGTGAACAGCTGTCACTTTCTTTCGGCCATGCTTCACAGCAAAGTCAAATGCATATTTTGCAATTTTGGTACATTTCTCCTCTGTCATGATCTTAAAACTTTCAATAACCCCATCAACATTCTACAAGATAACCAAACAAATAACAAAGATGAGAACCATATTAGGCACTTTAGTTGTTGTATATTGGGAAGGATAAGAGAGTTTACCAGTACACAGGCTGTGAGCTGACACTTCAGCTCTCTTGCAATACAGAAACACTTGCATGAGGTAGAATCTTGTGAATGTTACTGTCAAATTTTGGAAACCTTTAATAGGGCTTGTTTCAAGCACTTAAACCCCCCCCCCCCGGGGGGGGGAAGGACTCCCATATAAAAAGGACAGTGGTGCTCGTCATACCTTTTAGGGGTTAAAAATGCAGTTTTGGTAAATCTTAGGGTATTCAGCCTCAAAAGGTCCACAGCAGGAGCTTTTGCAGTACCTTTTAGGTATTGAGCCAAAAATATATCACAGAAGATTATGTCTTGTTTTGGAATTGGTATCTCTTAGGGGTGAAAAGCGTTTCAAGCCACACACACACACACAGAAAAAACATCTCAAGCCAAGCTCTCACAAAACAGGATCTTGGTACCTCTTAGGTGTTTTTTTCAAAATTTCAGAAGAACACCCCCATCCTTTTTGTATTGGAGTCCCCCCAAACCAGGGTTAAACATTCTTAAATTCCCGATTGTCTTGTATCAATACTGATGACTTCTCATAAGATTCCATAAGTGTCGCAAGAACATGGTCTCAACAATTTCTACTAAAGTGCATAAGTTGGGCTGCATACATGTACAATAACCAGGTAATGTCATATTAACTTGCTCTTTTATGAAAAGAGTAAAGCAGCAAATTAAAGATGGCTGATGCATACTTCATGTTCAATGTGACTGTATTCTCCTTCTGTGTTTTCTCTAATAATCACCAGATCCAAATCGCTATGTCTACAAAACAGAATAACATGGTTAAGAATGAACGTATTTCACTTAAGTCCATTTGAACACCTGTATTTTAACATCCCAATAACTTCTTTAATTCTTTCTTTTTTTCTGAAATTACAGCTTTACATTGTCATTTATTGTTTATTAATCAATACCTATTTATTTCTTGAATATACAGTACAAATACTGTACATGAACTGCACTTGTTGAGTAGTAATTTCCTTTGACGTTATGTCAACCACTGGAATCCACATACAAAGACAAAGTAGGGTACAGGTAGGCCAGAATTGCAACAACAAAACGAAGTCAACTGAAGAACAATACTGTGAGAGCTGCGATAATTTTAAAATTGGATATTTTGGATATGTCCTGTGCTCCACAAAGGGGTGAGGAAAATGGCTGAGAGTAAAGAGTCCCATACCTCACTGGGATTCCTGGTATGGATTTACATCTTACAACATTGGCAAATAGATCCAGCTGCCGACTGAAACAAAAGCAGGTTATCATAAATGTATGTATCATGCATTATATGATGCAAACAAAATTACAGTGAAATCTGATTTATCAAATGCTCAAGAGAAATGAAACTTGGTTAAAGAAATTGGGATTTCAAGAGATCAGCTAAAAAATGATTAATAGTGAAACAAATCCAAGACAAAATTAATGACTATTGGTTCAAGTTGTCACCTGAGGATTGAAAAATTCAGGGTCCCAGAAATAAAAGATTCCACTGTAGAATGACACATTTTTGTTACTTGTGTTGCATTGTTACAATCTTTTTACAGCTAACATGCTCACATAGAATTCCTACATTTACATGTATATATATACACTGTATGTGTGATAACACTCACCGTAATTCAACGTTGAGTGACTTAAAAGTAGGTTTATCTAATGGAGTAAATATATTTCCTGAAATCAAACATAATAGAAGAGTGAAACATCTGGTAACAAACTGAAACGTCAATTAAATGTGTAATGTGCATTGTGCTTGTGTGTACACGTATGTGTAGTTGTATATATAATGTGATATTAAGGGGAGGAGGATAACTGGACATTCAATCTGACTCTGCATATAGCTGTTGTTGTTGTTGTTGATGTTGTTGTTTGTTTCACAATTTCCTGAAGTGAATACTGATTACCAAAATCATATTGAAAGGCAAATACAAAGCTACTAATAACACCCCAGGTTACTGTGACATAATATTATAATTTTGCAGTCACTGTAACATTCTTCAGCTAACCACACAATTATTTGAACTTGATAACTTGACCAGTCAAACTATCTGCATGTATCAACATCTAAGGATGGTGATATTGAATATAAATTTGTATCCCATCCCATATCCCATCATCCTTGGCAGTGAAAACCTTTTACAACTTAACTACAACAAATAACATAAAAACTCATGTAAGAGATTAAAATTCTGTAATAAACTGTTGAGACGGTTATTATTGATAATAAATCTTGATAATAAATCTTGTGTACTGTACCCTTCATTGCTACTCCATTCCTCTTCACTGAAGTCACAACATCTTCCAAGGTGTCACTGAATGCATCCTCGTCACTTAAATTTACCCCACTAACAGTGACAGATCAACACAAAATGTTTGTTACATTTACAGTAAATTTTAAGGTGTGTTACCAGTTCAGTTTTAAGTAAATGTGTCTTGCTGAACAAATATTGGCCCAATCTTTCTGCCAAGATTGTTACATGCCAGCCTCCTGGGTGTTAAGGGAGGTGGAAGGTAATTATGTCCACATTGAATTCAATTATAACTTCAGACAGAATATCCAGTAAATGAAAGTGATATTTTCCATAGTTTGATTTCAGGTTAGTTTTTCTGATGACCAAGATAAACTGGGCCCAGCAACAAGGCTAGCCAGATTAATGACAGAACAGCAGTTGGGTTTGCACCAAATGAACTTCTATTTAGACCGTACAAAGCAAATATGGTGATACACTTGAACTGTTCCTGTAATGTCAAATATGTATATATACGGTATACCTTAAATTAAGTTCTTCAAAATCCACTGGTGCACCAATATACCTAGAGGACAGTACGACAACAACTTAAAAGAGAAAACACATTCAAGTACATGAATATATGTGACTACTCCAGTTTGATAGAAAACATACAATTAAATTGTAAAAATCTATGCTAGTAATTTATTAAGGACATTATTTCCAGCATCTTTTGTTTCAAATTAATGTGTGGACTACTCACATGGGTTTCAGAAAGACTGAGGAACATGGTAAAACAAAAGGCACCTGAATATATCTTGCACTGCAGTGACCATCTCTGGGCCAATACCATCTCCTGGAATTAATGTAACAGTGTTACGCCCGCCATACTTGGCATGTATTGGAACTTCATGAGATTGGTGGAAAGAATTCTGCAACGTTTAAAAGGAACAACAAAAATGAAGCAACGTGACAATCATTTGTTCTTGATGCAGTTTTGGATAGCTTCCAGTCCAGTAAAAGATGATGTTTACAATACAATCTGGATAACTCAAGTACATGGATGGTGGCATTAAAAATATTCCATTGTTATAGTACCAGTGCACTAAATTGAACACTTGACATGTAATTTGCTGCATGTACATGTATATTATGACCAAGCGTACATGTACCCGCAATGTAGCTGAGATAAAAATTAACATCAATGGCGTTACTTAGGGTGTAGTTGTAGTGCAGTTGTAGTTGTGTGTCATAATTTCATTTCTTTCTCTAGTTTGCAGTTTCCTTCTCTATCAGACATGCTTGTATTATCTTTAGGTTTTTGTTTTAAATTAATTTAATTTATATCCTTGGTTTTGACTCAGTGCGTCCATGATACTGACTGTAGGAGTGCTGTGTTTCATGTAGGTGTTTTGTGTTTTTTATCAGAAGCTAAATTGAAAGTAATTTAGTCATCTGATTATTATTTCAGTTTATCCAGGTAGCCAGTACTCTATCTAACTAAGTTTAATTTTCCTTCTACCAAATGTACGTTCTTTGCAAGAACGATTACAACTAAAGGCCGACGCCGTTGTTACCTTTTTAAAGATCACAGGTGATATTTGGCGGCAGACTCTTGTTAAACCGAGCCCAGAGAGTAGTCTTGAAGATTGCCGCAATGATAGATTAACCGCCGCCATTTTGTCTGTTGTGTCACGCGGTCTCTTATAACTCAGCGGTTACTGGTTATACTTTACAACCATGTCATATAAGACGTCCTCACGTTCCAACGTGCGAATTGATCCTGCTCTATTTTGGTGAAAATATTCATTTACACCATTCTTCTCTCCAAAAATATTTAAAGCACCGTAGCTGCAGTTCCACCGTCTGAAACCGCACGCTTGAGTCAAAGAGTTCAACTTCCATATGGATTCTGACGACCACATTTCAGTTGATGAAATATCACAGTTACAATCACTTTCCAAAGAGGATCTTGTTGGCAGGATTGTAGAGCTAACCAGAGAGAAAAAAGAACTATGGAAGAAGCTACATACCAACTCAGTCGCTGAACAACAACCAGATCGAACAAACGATTGTAATCTGGATTGCAAACCTCCTGTGGAGAACAATTCATCGAAAGACCTTGACGATGGAAATATGAACAAGAAAGCTAGTGAAGGCAGTGGAAGAACTAAAAAGCAGAAATCATTTGATTTTACTCGCTACCACAGACGACACATAGCTATAAAGATGGCGTATCTTGGATGGGACTTTCACGGCTTTGCCAGTCAAGAGAGCATCGAGAATACCATTGAAAGTCACTTTTTTGCGGCGTTGTCGAAAGCGTGCCTGATAGAAAACAGAGCTGATTGTAACTATTCCAGATGTGGTAGGACAGATAAAGGAGTTAGTGCATTTTCACAGGTTGTATCCCTCGATGTACGGTCAAATCTCACTGAAGGTCTTGGTCTCATTACAAGTGGAGACCAGGAAAGAGTGCAAAAGCGAGTTGGTATGTAGTCTGTGTATAACATTATATATAGACAGATGCTGTTGACATTACCAGAGTGTGAAATGGCAATATAATTCAAGGTCATAGGTGTATCTACAGGTGATAGGTGCATTATAGAGGGGAATGCTTATGAAACAAACAACGTCCTTTGTTATATGTTCCTGTTCAATTTTTTGGCCTTAACCGTGCACAGCAGGTGCAGATCTAGGATAAATGGTGACGATTTCTGAAACAACGAGTGCCTTCTAGGGAGGTTCCAGGGCCATGCTCCCTTAGGAAATGTTCTGGAGTTTTTTACTACTAAAGTCCCCTTTTGGGGTTTTCTGAGTAATTCTGAAAAATCTGACCAATATCCGTAGAACGGTGGAAACCGGTGTGGATCCACAACTGCACTGAACACAATAGTTATCTACTTCTGACAAAGGAACTGACCAATAGAAGCGTTTTGGTTGAGTAATTCATGCATAGAGTGCTTACATTTACCTACATGTAACAAAAACTGACCCGTGAACCCACCCCTTCCCATCCCTGTTCTTCAGGGAATGTACTATTAATATCAAAACCATTAGTTAATACATATAATCTAAAATGACCGTGCAGTGATTATTCTGATTATTTAACTTTTAAGAAATACATAATAGTCAGCCTTTGTCACAGCTGTCCTCCCGCAAAAGAAAAATTGGAGAGAGTGTCTGTGTGTTACCATTGATAACCGTGTTCCTTGTATAAATTATCCATGGCTTTGCATAAAAACATTTCATTGTCACACATTGATATGAGGAGACAACAAAAGAACTTGCTCTCTGTGTGTGATCTTGGCATGAGACACTAAATGATTTGTCAATGGCACAATATAGAAACAGACCACTCGCAGAATAATTTTGCTGACATAAAATGCTGCTTACTGCCATTAATCTGGCTTTTAAACTTCAAATTGTAAAACTAAATCTCACCCACAAAGTGTATAAACTGTGATTGTGGCCTCAACAATTTATGAACATTACTCTTCATTAAACTGCCAATGGTTGATCGACCAATCTGAACATTTTCCACACATTCTTGGAAAAGTCATGTGCCTGGAAAAGTCACATGCCTTTAACACGATTAACAACAGTAACAAATACAAGTCTCCCTGATTTTTCTTTCAGCGAGGGCGACTGTGACACAGGCTACTTAATAGTAAGGAAAACAACTTTGTCAATTTAAACATTACAGTTACTTTATAATATTATTCTGACATGTGTTTTATGTTGACAGAGAAAGCCAAACTGCTAGAAATCCCTTATGCTCATGTTCTAAACAAGCTCCTTCCACCAGAAATAAGGATTATTGCCTGGGCACCAGTGGATCAAGAGTTTGACGCAAGATTCAGCTGTCTGAACCGGACATATAAGTATTTCTTTCCTGTGGCAAATGTTGATGTAGATCTTATGAATCACGCAGCACAAAAATTTGTTGGAAAACACGATTTCAGAAATTTCTGTAAAATGGATGTTGCAAATGGTGTTGTAGCTTTTGAGAGGGAGCTTATCTCATGCACAGTCCAAACAAATAACTTGCAGAGTTGCAATGGGTATGAAATGTGTGAACTGATAATTTGTGGATCAGCATTTCTGTGGCATCAAGTGCGCTGCATGGTCGCTGTGCTGCTTATGATTGGCCAGAATCTAGAAAAATCTGAGGTCATTGACTGGATGCTTGATATCAAACAGTGCCCAAGACGGCCACAGTATAATATGGCATCAGAAGTACCCCTTGTGCTGTATGATTCTTGTTATGAAAAGTTGTCATGGAAACATGAACCTGGCATTTTGGAAGCTTTGTTGAAAGATTTCCAAAGACAATGGACAACTCATGCTATTAAAGCGGAGATGCTAACAAGCTTGATTGGCAAATTAGATGATGCAGCTGTGAAAACACATATAGGTGACAAGGGTGACAAAGTTGTCACGTGGCGTGACATAAGGCAGCCTCAATTTCATCAGTTAAGTTCACTGGTCCCTTTTCAAGTCACAACAAGAGTACACAAACCACTTATGAAGAGAGCCATGCATGAGAGCTTTGAATCCAAACTGGAAATTGTTAATGCTAAGCGAAGAAAGGTTGGCAAAGAAGAATTTTCGGAGAAACCAAGGGACACAGACTCAGTAGTGTGAACTGCTTCCTCCATATGTTGATCTAAAAGATCAACAATCAAGATTTATTTTCAGAAAATTGGAGGAAGGGATCTTTGTGCAGCCTCTACTTAACAGCGCTTCTCAGGGCCTGGCTGGGTATTCATTAGCTTGTAAGTCTTTCGTTAGGTCAATCTCCTCGGCCGCTCTTAGATCAGGATGCGTGGGGAAGAGCAACACATGAAGGCCGCCACTCCCATGAAGGTTGCCAGACAAAAACTTTGTGAGAAATTCAACATAGATCATCACAAATTATTTATGAATAGCAATGACAAAGATGATACCTGAGACAATGCCTAGTAGAAACTAAATTCCTATTTACGTTTGGATTTCCCTCTGAAAATCGTGACCCATCCGCCCCTGTGAAAATCACCTCAGGCCTGCTCCCATACAAAGGCATGTAAGATTTGATGTGAAAAGGCAAAATATTTAGAAGTACGACTGGCTCCAAAGAATAAATTGCACACACTCAAGCTAAGACAGAAACTAGGCATAGACATAGTTTATTTTACTTGGACAAAACACTTAGCTATGGTAATGGTGCGCCCCATAGACTTGATGAGCAGAGTCTACAGGACGCACCAGCTACCGGTAGTTTACAGGTGCGCCAAGAAAGCAAAATAAGGAAGTAAATATGTATGTACAATTGGGGTACATAAGGAATCCCCATAAGGGGTATCTAATTACGACTACGGTGATAAACACAACACACTTCAACTTGCCACTCACCTTACTAGTGGTTTGATGTAAGTTTAAGTTAAGTTATACCTAACCCTAACCCTGTGTTGGTGATGAGAATTTACTTATCAATATTGTTACCCACCGTTTGATAACACGTTATTTTAAGCTTGAGAATAAAATAAGTTTACACCATGTGATACATGGATAAAGATGTTCTTTGTCGAAATTCTTTATAAAATTTCTTGTTGCTGCATTTTAGCTGAATCCTCTAGAGCGCTTTCCATTTGGTGGAAAAACTGGCGAGAATTTTGCACCAAATGGTACAGTAGAAATTTTCAACAAACAGAGACAGGATGCGTGTGTGCAATTTGACAGCATTTGTAAACCCTCCGGTCAGATTGTTCCATTCCATTTCCCAGCGAAACGACTACATATTTCATCAAGGAGCATGGGAATGGTATGAAAAAGTAGATGGTACCGCGATTTTCCTTGACACTTGCGTGAAAAAATGGATTTTTTTTTGCACAAGTAAATGTTTCTCAGTTTTATGTCAAAGATGTCCCAAAAAGCACATAGATTAGACTCAAAGCCTGAAACGGATGTTTGATGTTTGGCTGAGGCTGTCCGCGACTCTCTTTATTACAGGTGTTTCCGGAGAGCGCAGAAATAAATAAAAGGGCTGCAGCGGCGAAGATTCTTGGGACGAGGAAAAATTAAAAGAAATGTTTTGAGGTCGCCCCAAGCTCCTAGGATTCATTCTTCAAAGTTAAAGGGACAGGGCCATGAGCTGTGCATGCGTGAGCGTCCGATCTAAACTTGAGAAGTTCCGCCGGAATTGATAAATTATGAGCGACTTGCTTTACATAAAATTCATGAATGCAAAATAAATGCAAAATTATTTTCAGTTACCGGCAAATCCATAATGGCCGCCGCTTTTCTCTGAGAGCGCGAGAGCTAGGAAAGACGTGCATGGGCAGCTCATGACACTGTCCCTTAAAGTCGTCAAAACAGTCTGACTGGAAACACTCGTGCAATCATGACCGATTTCACTTCGGATTTTGTGGCTTTCTCGTACATCTTCAAATTTCCGTGCATGTGTCTTCTTTCTTTTGTCATTTCTCATTTTCTGATAACAATAATTCCGGCAAAATGTTCTTGGCCTTTATTGGTGAAAAATTACTTTATTATCTTGCAGCTGGATTTCACTTTTGTAGAAGCACGAAAAAGAGATTTCCGTTGATTCTTTCAGGATATTCACAAAAGGCCGAGATATCAAACAGTGAATGAAGGTTCTCGACACTCTCATCACGGAATGAACAAAGTTTTTCTTATTTGCACGGAAATCGATAACGAAGACTGCAGTCCGTAGGAGTCGCTAAAAACTAGCTCAGGCTTATATTTGCATTACTTCCAAATTGCTTTTAGGCTATTTTATTATTATTATTTTTCCATTTCTCCAAGTTTTCACCCTGTCAAGCTGTTTACATACACGTGTGCTTTGTGAACTTTTACCTTGGCGTTTGCTTTGGGGAAAAGTTAAAGAAATGTTTTTTTTTTTTGGCTGTTGACATTTTCTAGGCACTTCAGAGGGTCAAGGTGACCTGTTTAATTGGGCGCATCAGTTTTGCCCAAAGCCAATATTCATCTGCACTGCATGCGACCATCACCGTTTTTCCGTGGAATATCTCATCCGGTTCTTGTAAATGCAAGCTTGAAATTTATAATCGCGATGTTTATACCGCCTAATGAAAACCAATGAGTAATTTCCTCACAGCGCTAGCATCAAATATCCTTTACAAAACAGAAACAAAGCATAACAACATCTATTGTTGTAGATAAATGTTCTTATACCTGTTCGTTTGCCAGCGATCAAAACCAAACTTGGAAAGGTAGGCGTGGAAGTGTATCTGATTTGGACGCCGGTGGATTAAAAAAGAAAACAGGTAGGAATGTGTGCGGGGTAAGAGTACGGAGTCCTGAGTTTATTATCTGCTTGCTCAAGTTCACAGAAACGAAAAACCTTGCATGCTGATTTGGTTCGCTCAGATTTGTGACAGTTATGCCAGAGATGTCCTCGAAAAACGTTTTAAACCATAAATTAAATTTAATTGTTGATTTATCCACTTAATTCTAAGAGATTGTCGTTTGTTGAGGTATTCTTCTGTCATCTTTTAATGTTAACATTTTAACGTTTCGCTACTAGTCTGGTGTTAGCAGACGAGTGAAGGACCACTGAAGTATTCAGTGAATCCCACTGAATATAGTTCCATGTTCTGTATGTTTTACTGCATTCTTAAAGGGGTATTTACTTAAAGTGTCATCAATATTTCAACAGGCCAGGTACGCCAAACTATTACTAGTCTATAAAGTACGAGGCAACTTTAATTTACCATTTTTTTACCGCTTGAATTTAAATTTGACTGATCTTTATTTTTAAAATACTGAGGAATCAATGCAGTAAGTTTAATGCTAAAGAGGACAAACAAGCCAGACGATCTTTCATTTAGCAAACTTGGACTTCTGAAATAAATTCAACTGTACAAAAGATATTCGAATATGTACAAAATATATTACCATTATT